CTTCCAACTAGATTGCCATGTGGAAAATTCTTGGATCGTCTAGCTAGGGAAGATTGATTACTAAACGACCCAACTAGAAGACCCGCTCCGAATTATAGAACCAACCAGGCTTACCAGATAATACCACAAGATCGTGAACAGTGAGTCCTTTGCTAGCGAAGTTGCTCTTCAAAGTTGTAAAGTTAAAAGTGGGAGCAGGGATGTTAGCGAGTGCATCGGAGGCCCGTGACACGGTGCCGTCTCTTCTACCCGTAAGCACCTCCCACATTGACTTCTTGAACTGCAATAGATGACAAAACCAAATCATCATCAACTCCGATTTCAGAGCTAGATTAATTTGGATGGATTATCGGGTAATTAATTATCTCTGAACCTCTTTAAAGTTTAATTTACTTAAAATATTCCTTCTCCTCTGCTTCTTCCTATTAAGTTGAACTTACTTGGAAAGCAACCGAGTCTCTGGCAGCCAGAGCAATGATATCGGCACAGGAAACAACTCCTGGGCAAGTTTTCTCCACTTCAGTCTTAACCTCATCGATGACATCGAGACCATCCAAAGTTAAGTTGGGAGCTGCATCCTTCTCAGCTTGGTTATTTTGGGTTGAGTTCAGTAACACCGATGCATCGCAACCCTGAAAGAGAACCAAGCCAAAACTCAGTAAGAATTAATACATGAGGGAAACTGCATTTCCAATGACATGAGATTTCAAGCAATATAAATTGATTAGCTAGTGAGTGTTATATTACCCTAACAAAGCAATCGTGGAAATGCAACCTAACAAGCGCAGCAGGCAGCCCAGAATCGCTAGCGACTCGTTTCCAAACGACAGTCTTAACGATCTCCTCCGCACGCGGACAGCTGCTTCTGTAGAAATTTTTTCTCAGGCTACCTCCTTCACAAATACCTAAAATGCAGAATCCCAGCAGCGCAATGCCTAACAATGGACGAAGATTGTGAGTCCTCATCTTCAAAAGCTAGGAAATGCAATTCAAAGCTCTATAACACTAGGATGATTATTAAACACAGCCAATAATTCATTATATAGAACTCATCAAAAGCTAATATCCCACTGTCCAGAATTAATAGTGTCAAAGATCCAGATAGGCAAAACTTTGTCTTGTTATATCTCTACGTGAATGGACAGAGTGAGACAACAATGCATTGTAGATTAGTTGATATTGAGATGGGGTACCCCTATTTTTATTCATTTTACATCAATTGATCTGTCATAACCTTGTTTTTAGTGACCAACATGCAAAAAAGAAAAAGAAAAGAGAAAGCAGTTCTCTTTGCATATACCCATCATATATACCTTATTTTAAACATTTAGAAGGAAAATGATTCGACCATAAAATTACCCACCTTGTAATGGGATGAATTCCCTCCTAATTAAGAAAATTCAGCAGTGATCAACAGAAAGCTTTCATGGATACATTACATGAAAGTGATTCATCTAAATGATCGGTATATAGCTCAATTCCTTAAGGCTCAGTTTGGAAGGATTACAAATACAATTATGTGGAATGTAAAACTTTGTATTTTGTATTATTTTTCTTATACTTATACTGTACAAATTTGCATTTGTACTCCTTCCAAACTGAGCCTGAAGAATTTCTCATCAGTTGGATATAAAAATAAAAGAGAGAGAGCAAAAGAAAAGATTGGACGTCTCATCATCAGAATTGTACGTGGATAGTGAGCATGAATTGGTCTTTAATTTACAGCTTCTATTAGAATATGTATGTGATTAGGTATAGGAATTACAATTTCTTTTTAGTTTTCTTCTTTCTCACCTAATATTATAAACAATATATAGCTTGTACTTTACATACATAGATAGGGCTTTTGATATATTACTACTAACAATAGGCATGCACCATTCCTATTGCAACCTTAGTTCAATTATTTGAGATAGATAGCTAGTTGAAATCTTTTGGACCCAAACTGTAATACTAGCTTGTAGATTATTTTTAAACATTCATAAAATCATTCAATGTTGTAGTTGGTTAAACCAATTGGATTGTGTTTCAAGTTTATCTAAGTCTTCATAATGGGGCCTACATATTAAATGCCTAGGGTTCTTGGATTGCATGGTATTGCCCTTACTATATATCTAGCAGCGGATTGCTCATGCAGTATGCTTGCTCATCATCATCATTATCATCATATTAAAATAATTTACTTTTTCAAAATTGGTCAATTATCTATGGTTCTTATCTACAAGATATGGAGAGATGACATGGCTAATCAGAACCTAAATGACTCTTTGATATGAAATAATAATAATAATAATAATAATAATAATAATAATAATAATAATAATAATAATAATAATAATAATAATAATAATAATAATCTTTAGTAGGGTCCATCTTATATGTGAATGGGTCAGGCCTTTTTGGCAGATCTGAACCAAACCGACTCTATTATATAGGATCTGGGGTCTACATTTTATGTCCTAAATATTAAAATTAGATCCGAATCAGTTTTCATTGTTCCAAACTGATTAAAACCCAAATGGTGTTTTATGTATAATTCATCCTTGTCATTACCATCATTATAATGTTCTAATGATATTAACATAATACAAAGATATCCGAGTCTGGTACCTATTATTTTCATGACATATATAATATTATAAGATGTCCAAATATGCAAACTTAGCAAATAAGCAGGTTTATTTATTGTCAAATAACAATTATTATTGGGTCATTTAGGTCAGATCCAATCACAGACCCTATAGGTTCTGATTGAAAACTGGTTCAACATTTACTTATCAGGTTTGGACCGGATCTACTCATCTACACTTACCCGGACCCAACCTAAACCTATTGCATTAGTCGGCTCTTGTTTTGGCTCATTATTTTTCTAATTGGAAATGGTCCATTTTTTATAACCTAGTATCTGTCCCTTAGATTAGAAACCTTCCTGTTGGCCATGGCCCATGTTTTTTATTTTTACTGTTGCCCATTGGTGTGCAATTACAAAGCTATCTTGGGCGGCCCATTAAGCCACCAAGTGATGAAGATTAGTTGCCAAGTATCTTGATTGTGAATTTGTCTTATACAACCTCTCCTATTTCCCCACATGTGGAGAAGAGATGATTGCCACTTCACAATTCACACTATCCAGTAGATAGCTCACTCTATCTGCTCTACTCACATTGCCATTGGATGATTGGATCCTTTCCCAACTGAAGAAGCTAGCAGCTGAAATTTCAAAATTTTCTTTTCCAGTCACAAAAGATCAAAGGAAGGTTTTGCTAGCTTTTGCCACAAGACAGATATTGGTTGTTTAGGGAGCGGCAAATGGAGCCTTATTGGGCCATGACCAACGCTTCCATGCACGAGATTCCTTCCCTTAATTAGGTTATGTTTGGTTTGAAGGAAATTGTAGGGAAAGGATGTATTGGTTTTCCTGTCTTTCCCTTCCTTTCCATACCTTTTCCCTTTAAACCAAACATAGCCTTATTGCAAGCCTTAAAATTTGCAAATGAAATAGAAAGACTTTTGTGCCATGATAGGATTCCTAATCTTGAAAATTAGGTTGTCCATTTAATGAGAGGAGTCTGATCTGCTACCCACACGCTCCCTACAAGACCCCATCAATGACAATATATAAGGGACCCCATTGACAATACTTCATATTAGGGGTGTCAACGGTATTTGAAAATCAGATTTTGAATTTGAAATTTGACATAATTGAATCGAATTCAGATAATTTGAATATCTAATTGGTTGAATTTGGATATGACCTAATTCAATTCAATAAATATCCGAATTCGATCAATTATTTACTTCTTATATATAATATATAAAATATTTAAGTGTTTGTATAATTTATATACAATAATTAAATTATATAAATAATTTATATACATTATATAAATAAAATATTTATTTTATATATTTATTAATTACCTAAAATAATTAATTGGTCAAATTTGAATCGGATCGAATCAAATATTCGAATACTTAATCGAATTCGGATTTGAATATTAAGTTTTAATATCCATTGGATATTGAATCGAATTTTCTAATCGGATTTGAATTCGGATATTGCTTGATTTGATTTGAATTTGATCCGTTTACACCCCTACTCCAGACCTTTACTTAAATAGAAACTCTCAGTTTGGAAAGAACACAAATACAAATATGTAAAATGTAAATACATACGAAATAATACAAAATATAAGGTTTTGCATTCTACATATTTGTATTTGTACACACCTTCCAAACCGAGCCAAAGGATTTTTGCCATGTGGTTGCTTGCTACTTTCTTAGTTTCTTGAATTTTACCATGCGTAAAGAGTGAAGAAACGATTTATGAACCCCCTGTTGATTGCTGCCCTAAAGTCTCAAACACTTTATGCATTTTCGGAGAAATCCAGTTGATTGGTGCGGACAAAACTTTTGAAACATTAAGGTCTGCTTGGTTTACAATTGGAATTGAAATTGGAATCAGAATCAAAATGATCTATTCCCATAATCTGTTTAATTAAAATGGAAATTGAAATCAGCTTGAATGAGATTTCATTCTCAAGAGAGGGGGCATTCCCTCCAATAGGAGAATGCCATTCCACCGATAATGAAAATAAGATTCTAATTCCACCCAACCAATCAGTTGGAATGAAGATGACCTGTTCCAATTCCGATTCCGGCAGACCTCTTATTCCTGCCAATCAAACAGGACCTAAATCATATTCTGATTTTGTCAACTTTTTATAGCAATTAAAAAGAATATTTGTGTAACTAGTATAAGATTTGGTTGGTGATACGACAAAGACTGGTTGCAGATAAAGGTCTTCCATGTGCAGATTTAAAAATTATGTTCCCTAAGTCTATGTAAGACAGCTTTCAAATTCATCATGCATTCTGCAAATTTGTAGGTCCTACTTTTATACAAATCAATATGGTTCATACGACGAATTGAGTTTAATGGTAAATAATAGAGGCAAGATTAAGGAAAATTATATTATGCTAATTGCAGTGTTGAAACGCTCGTACCGACAGTCACATCTCGTTACCAAATTTGTTCTTTAACCAGCTTCTGTCTTCTATTATATATATATATATATATATATATATATATATATATAATTTATATTTTTTATTATATTTTAATTTTTTATTTGTAAAAAATATTAAAAATTGCAATGTAAGACTAAAAGTTCTTTTTTTTTGGCAAAAATAACGGGATAAGGTGCCTACAACGTCTTGGGAGGCATAGACATTAAAAAGTTACCGAAAAGAAAAAATCACCTCAATCGAACATCAGAGTGCAAAGTTGTGACATCCAAAAGTTTGATAAACAATTAATGTACAACTCGTGACCCGATCACCTGGTCAAATGAATCAACAGTCCAACCATCCAAATCAAACAGTTTTTTACCAAGTCAATGATTTTCAACCATCCACCAATTTTTACTAAAACTAAACCTGAAATCTTGGTTGAGTGATAATTCGAACAGTTCAATTAATAAGGTCAATGACAGATTAAAAACATTGCATAAAAAAACTAATAAAACAGATTAATTAATTATAATTTAAAATATTAAAAATGAACTTACAAAATACTGTAACTAACACCAGAACTATAGTACCCCATGGTGTGATTGGAGCATGAAAAGAACCATTTTAAATGTGGTGAAAACCATACCACACCATGATATGGTGGGGTTCAAACCACGCCACACCACAACCGAACGAATGAATTAAGTGTGGCATCGTTTATAACCCAATATAAACCACGCTTCCGAACACCTCTTATAGTGGGGAAAGGAGGATCAAATACTTAGGTCATTTGGTCAAACAGTTGTGAGGTGAGGTCCCGGAAAATAATTTTTTTTTTAATATTCTAACATATCTCTCTTTTATAAGTAGCAATTTCTGTATTTTCTAATCACAAAATTCTGTTTATTCCCTCATTTGTCACTTAATCTATAACTGTAGATTCTACCACTATAATTATGCTAGAAGAAAGATAACCATAGGTTTTTTAATAAAAAGAAAACCGAATTGGTT